GCCGATTCTCGCCCCGTGAGCAGCTCAGAGCCACGGCCTTCCTGGGCCCAGCCCTCGGCTGTCCCGCCAGACGGCAAAGCGGAGCCCCGATAAGCCACGCCTTCTCTACAGCACCTCCCAAGGGACGACACGGGAACTGCGTATTTTCTGGCCAAGGACATTGAAGGGCCTTTAAAAAAATGCTGGACAGAAAACTGCAGCATGGACTCCTGCCTCTCAGGAAGCTGGAGTGCGGCCCATCTTCCATACTCAGCGTCCTGTCCACGTCTGCCCCGATGACAGAGAGCTGCAGGGCCTGAGCCCCGTGTCCTGTAGGGAGGGCCCCGCCGGGCACCGGGGACTTCAGCACACAGCCCAGGCCCCATGCTGTGAGCAGCTGCCTGCATTTCTGCCCTAGGAAAAAGCCACCCCCGGCTCACTGAGCTCACGGACCACACTCAGGGCTGGGAGGAGAGGTCGGGGTGCAGCCAGGCCTGGTCTGTGCAGGTTGCTGGTGGCTGGGGGCACACACACCTGGAGTGGGGGGTGGGGGGTGGGCGGTGGAGCTGTGAGGCCTTTGGGTACATGGCTGGGGGGGGACCAGAGGCCCAACATCTCTGTCTCTGAGCCCCAGCCTCTCCCCAGGCCCCCTGGCTGCTGGACACTCCTAGGGTCAGGCCCCCCCCCCCCGAGTGTGCAGCCCCCTACTCCCCAGCCTGCAGCTCAAGCTCCCCCAGTGCGGGAGGGACAGGGAAGCCCACCCGGCCACTCCGCCTGCCTTCCTCTCTGCCCTTGGCTGTCAAGAGCCGGCGTGGGAGCCTGGGGCCCTTCCTCCCCCCTGCGCAGAGCGCAGCCCCAGGGAGGGGCCGCGGCCAGGGCTCTGCTTGGGCGCCAAGGTCTGCCCTTCCCGGCTGCAGCGGCCCAAGAGTCGGCAAAGCCAGCCGGGCCGGGCACACTGGCTTCTGCTCCACCACCAGGGTCCCGTCCCGAACCTCCACCCTCAGCTGATGCGCAAACGCCTGCCCTGCCCCTCCCGCTGCCCCTCCCGCCACGGCCAGCCCTGACCCGGCGCAGGCCCAGCGTTCTCCGTGGCTCTTCTCCACCAACACCCGCCGCCTCTGTTCCACGCCCTGCCACCGTCCCAAAGCTCAGGGCCGGAGGTCGGCATTTTTTTCAAAACCCACTCATTTTTAGTGACCGATAAATGAATACGGCCTCAGAAAATCGGAACGTCTCAGATAAAACAAAGTTGTTCTTGGACCCACTCATCCAACCCTAACCCTGCATTTGGAGGCTGCGGCCGCAGTCTGATGAATGCTCCTTTGTAAAAATAGAAGAGGTTGTGTGTGTGTACCCACACACAGACGCACACACACACACGTACACATGTATGATACACACACACGTACACATGTATGATAAACACACACATCCACACACGTGCGTGTTCGCTTATGTGCTCTCCTCCCCGACACCTGGGTCCCTTCCCGGCCCTCCCAGCTCCAACTACCAGTCAGTCTGCCAGTGACCAAAAGAAAACAGTTGAAAAACAGTGAAAACCTAAAAATCATAAATATCATCTAAGACACTGAAAGGGAGAAACACTTCAAGAAACGGACATGATTTCGAGAGATCTTTCTGGGGCTCAGTTGCTAATGGAACAGCTCCTGTCCAAAGCGGCCAGCCCAAACCTCGAGGAGGACAGTGACGGAGGCTGCACTGGGTGCGCCTGGGCCCTGGGACGGGCTCTCCACCCCCTCCCCCTCCCCCCCGCAGGGCCCTCCTCCTCTCCCCCTTCCCTCATCCCTCCTCTCCTCATCCTTCCTCCCCTTTTCCTCCTCCCCTCTCCTTCACTCCTCCCCTGATTCCTTCTCCCCTCCACCTCCTTCCCTCCCCTCCTGCCTCCTCCTCCTCCCCCTCCTCCCCTCCCCTCCTCCTCCCAGGGCTCTGCACCGCCTGGGCAGGAGGGTGGCAGCCTCCCCGTCTGGAGGCAGCTCTCGAGCTCCTACGCTTTGCCTTCGCACCCCCATCCCACCGTCGGGCTCTCTGCGACGCTGTCTGCCTCGCTCAGAACGGCCGCCCCTCCTAACTAGGTTCAGCCTTCGTCACCCTCCTCCTCTGGCAGAGCCTCTGTTTGCCCCTTACCGGGGCCCCCGAAGATAGAAATCCCACCTTTTCACCACCAAGTCCAGCACATTCGGTTTTCCCAACGTCGCAATTTCCCAACCAGGCAAATCGTGCGCGCGTCTCCTCCTCTGCACAGCTGTTGTGCGCGACACAGAAGCCTTGTGCGTCCTTCTCATCGGGCGGCCCGCCGTCCCTTCCCCGGGCACGCACTCTGAGCCCGAATCTCCGGACAGTGCTAGCACGGGTGGACGGCGAGAAGAAGCGCTCCTCTTAAGGCAAAAGCACTGGAGGAAAAGTGACGGCGCCACACCTTGCAGGGCGTGGGGAGAGAGGCCAGCGTCCCCTGACCCCGGCACAGAATCCCTCCAAGTGACGCATCTGCTCCGTCCACACAGAGACTAGGACAGCCCAGCCCTCCTGGCCCCCAGAGTGGGGCTGGAGGAAGAACAGAGCCGCAGACCTGGCTTCCTGTCCCACGGCCGCCAACCGGATGGATGGGAGAGTCCTGAGCAGGCTCCTTACCCCCAGCTTACCTCCTGCACTGGGCCGGCCCCCCAGCCGACGTCCCACCCCCCCAGTGAGCCTCCCCGAGGGACTCCGCTGGTCACGGAGCCACACGGGAAATGCCAGAATCAGCCGAGTGGCTCATCTGGTCCTGGGAGCGCAGGCACAATGAGGGACACGGCTCGGCAGGTTGGAGGCGCCCGGCCCCTCCTGGGGACCGTTCGGCCCCGGCAGGGGTTTCTTTGGCTCAAAGCCACAGGTGTGAGCACGATGCCCAAGGTCGGTCCAACAGAGTGGCTGGAGCCCCCTGCCTGAGCATCTCTGGTTTCCAAAGCAGCAGCACATCCTAGCTGCTCAGTTAAAATTAAATTCTTGTTCCTTATTGGAATGAATCCCTGGGGTCCCAGAACCCCTGTCTCCCTCGGGGTCGGCAATTGGTCTGGGGGGCTAACTAACCTTTGGCTGCTTACGACATACGCTTCTCCAGCGCCCCCGAGCCCAGGGCCTCCCTGGGAGTTCAAACTGAGAAGGGGCGCCAGGATCAGCCTGCCTGGCTCGTCCTGCTCCCTGGGCTCCGGGCTGTGGCTCTCCCAGGCCTCCTGCATCTTCCTTTCTGCCTCCTGAGACGCCTCTGGTCCCAACGGGCTGCCCAGCCACACCACGAGTCCTCCACATCCCGAACCCGCGGTCTGAGCTGTACACCTTGACCTTCCTGCACAAGGTACTGGGTTGGATAGCAGCCCCCCAAATTCGTGTCCTGCCCAGAAAACCTTAGACTGTGACCTTGTTTGGAAGTAGGATTGTTGCAGATATCATTAAGTTAAGATGAAGTCATACTGGGGCAGGGTGGGGCCTCATTTCATCTTACAAGAAGAGAGAGACACACAAGGGGAGAGCACCACGTGACAATGGAGGCAGAGGTGTAAGTGATGCCAAAAGCCCAGGAACACCCGGGATGCCGGCAGCGCCCAGAGCTGGGAGAGGGCCTGGAGCAGACCCTCCCCTGGAGCCCGAGGACGGAGCCTGGTCCTGCTCATTCCTCGATCTTGGGCTTCTGGCCTCCAGAAGTCTGGGCGAATACATTTCTGATGTCTTAGCTACTCAGCTTGTGGCACTTTGCTAACAGCAGCTAGGGAGTGAATACAGCCTAGCTCTGCTGTAACCAACACAGGCGTGAAGCCACCTGCTAGGAGACAGGCTGCCTGGTGCGGGGCTGGCCTGCCCTTCCCTCCGCTTAGGCGGTACACGATGAAACATCTGAGAAGTTCGGGATGCTGTCAAGAACCTGGGATGTTCTCTAGAACATTGTGACACCAGTGCTAGAACATTCTGCTCCCTGCCGGGCTTTGCAGATGGAGTCCCCACCGACTTTCCACCGGTAATAGTAATGCCTGCCAGGGGACCACTTTGTCACACCTGCGATACCCCCATCACGTGACACTGTGTTTGCAGTTAGGTGCATGAGTGGGCAGAGGAGCAGTCATTCCAGGGAGATGATTTTAGGGGTACTAGAAACAATACTCCCCCCTCCACACACACACACAAACACACACACAAAAGTAAAGAAATGAAAACTCCCTCCCCTTCCTTTCCTTACAAATCAGAAAAGAGAGTGAAATTCACTCTTGCTGCCACCTGGCCTTGCAGATCCTATACTGCTCACCATGCAGGTCTTTTGAGTGCAAATGCAACCTGGAGAGAAAGAAATACCATCCCTGACCTCTGATGCTCAAAGGCAAGCTTGTTTTCTGAATCTCTGTCTTCCTTAATGCAAAAGCTCCACCTTAGCAGGAAGAACTAGAAGAGCAGAGGCCGGAAGGGAACCAGTAAACTCCATCCGCTTTACGGTTTGCCTTGCACATTTCATGTTACGATCAACGGTGCTCAAATGAGACTATTTTATCCGCGGATCACACATACAAGCCGAAGGGACTCTCTCTTAAACACACACATTTCCTCCCCCCGTTTCTCCAGCAAATCCATCCCAGCTTCCATTCCCTGCTGCCCGGAGCCCAGAACAAAAACGTCAGGATCTGCCAGAAGCAGGTACAGTCAGACCCTCAAATGCCAAACGGCAGGGAGTGGGGAGACATGGGCAGAGCAAGCAGCCTGCCCTCTGGCCCGGGGCCACTTGGTTGTCCTTACAAGTCACACTGTGAGTGTCGCGATGTTTACAGTAAACATCAGGGACCATGCCATGCCGAAAGGGTTAGGCGCGATAGATCAGCGTGGGAAGATAGTAGGCGATGGGCGGACATGACTTGTCCTGGACAGAGGTCTGTTCGAGGGGAGAAGGGGCGGAAACAGGCCTGGGCACTCAGCACCGCGCCCCGCACAGCCACCCGGCAGCCGAGTGGCACCCACCTGAAACAATAGCATCAATGTCTTACTTTTTCTGGAGCGGGAGAAAAACCTGATGCCGCCGGGAGAGGTAGAGGGGTTGGAGCTGGGCGAAGACTCTTTGGAGGAGGAGCGGAAGATCCCGCTGAAGCTCATGCGGCGGGGCGAGCGCGGCGGGGACTCCTGGTAGGAGAACGGGAACACCGTCTTGGGCGAGCCGGGGCTGGTCTTGGGCCTCACGGGAGCAGACACGGGGCTGGAGGGCCGCGCCTGGGGGCCCCTGGAGAAGAGCCCTTTGGAGGGGCTGCCCAAGCCGACGGGGCTGTCCACCTGTGGACAGACAAACGGATGCGGTCACCCCGAGGGTTGGGCACTCTGACCTCTGCCCTGCACTGGGCCTGTCATCGTCGTCCCTCCCCAGCTCCCTGCCCAAGCAGCAGCCCTGAGCTGCCACCGAGGGGGCCACCAAACAGCCTGGAGGCAGGCATGCATGTGCCGCAAGGGTGGCCCGCCGTAGCCTGGTGGGCACCACACCCCGGAGGCCCACTGGCCATGCTGTCCCTCTCTGCAGAGGGCTTCCAGGTGGCAGAGGGGAGGAAAGGAAGAAGCAGCCGCAAGGTCTCCATGCACATCCTCCTCCTTGCCCTGCTGGCGGGTCTCAACCCCTCGCCTTTATCCTTCCCAGGGTCTGACCATGCAGGAACAAGGTCTCCTGCCTGCCTTGGAGGAAGAAGCAGACGCCCCTGTGATCCAGAACAGAGAGCACCTGGGACCCCAGCCGGAGCGAGGACGGAGATGAGAGATTTGCACCTCCGCGCTGCCCGGCATTCGGGTGGCCGAAGGTGCCCACAGAGTCAGGGAGAAAGTTCACAAGGCCCCAGCCTCTGAGGCGCTTCGCCGACGGCGAACGGTCGTGGTTACAGCCTGAACAGTTACTGGGCCCTACAACTAAAGCCAGGGCACGTGACCCCTAGACGGGGAACTGCCCCGAGTGCCCACACCCCTGCGCCCCTGCTGTGCGGGTGAGGGCCACGCGCCCTGCAGGCAGGGGTGACCCGGCTCCAACCCCTGCTGTGCCATCCCAGGCTTGTCACTCAGTCCTGCTAGGCCTCGGTTTCCTCATCCGTAAAATGAGGATAGTCCTGCTATCACCTCGTGGGGCTGTTTGAATGTCAAGTGACACGTGTGGGCCAGGGCAGGGGACCTAACGCACAGGAGCTGCCCAGGCGTGGTGCACCACTGCCGCTGACCACTGGTGAGCTTGGGACACCGGAGCCAAAAGGGCCTCGGGGGCCACCCAGCTCAGCAGCAGGAAAGGAGAGGAACTTGTCCACGGGGCTCCTGGCGCAAGAACGAGATGAAACCCTGGACATGCTGCGCGCTGGTGCCCAGCGCAGGGCTGAGGAGGGAGGTCTGCGCACACTGAGGCAGCCTCTGCCGGGCTCTGTCCGCTCCACTTTGGGGCGCCTGGCCGGTAAGCCCTTCCACCACTAGAGGGCGCCCCAAACCCTGAGCTTGCAGATGCTCGAAGGCGGGTCAATGCCCTCGTGGGACTGCGTGGTCAGTGACCGGTGACCGCCACAGAGTCCAAGCTCCCCCCGGAGTAAGACCCAGCACCGCCAGGCCGGGGAGCAGGGACCGGCTTGGTGCCAGCACCTCCGCTGAATGGAGGTGCGCCACCAGGACATGCAACTCAAGCTCTGCTCCTTGCAGAGAAGTCCAAGGTCATTCTTTTGACCCCTTTATACGAAAAGCCCTTCGATTCTCATAGAATATTCCGTTTAGCCACTATCCCACCTGTCTGTGGGACTCAGGGTAAGTCCTGAGAATAAACTGAAAACCAAGAGGCTCTTCCAGAGCCGGGGTGTGGGGGGCGGGGCTGGGGAGGGGCCTGGGAAAAGCCTTGTCCCCAGCAAGAGCGGCAGGTGCGGGGAACAGAGGATGACCCTGCAGCAAGGACTCTGGACAGCAGCCCAAGCTTGCATCCTGGCTCTGTCCTCGGTGGTGAGATGAGGGGAGCAGCCTAGGAGGGGGGACATGGGAGAGGGGTCGAGCCCATGTGGCAGGGACAGACACCCCGGAAGGGCCCCCCAGACCTGCCTCACTGCGCTCTCTGCACTGCACAGGGAGCTCTGCCTGGCACGTGCCGACGTCCACTTGCGTGGCGGGGACAAAGGTGTGCAGGGAGGCCCGGGGACCGCAGGAGAGGGGGGAAGCGGCCCCCAGCCCAGAGCACCGTGAGCATGATGCCCACGAAGAAGTGTCCAGAGGCGCAAAACTGCCCTCGCGGGGGCCGGGACACAGAGAGGACGCTGAGAGCTGGGTGGGCTCCAGACAGCCCGACGGACAGAGGAGGTGGAGCTGGGGGCAGGGACAGAGGGCCGCCCCCACAGAGAGCGACACAGGGGGCCAGGGGGACCCCGGAGTTCACCTGAATGGGATTCCATCCTGTACCCAGAAAGCCAGGCCGAGGAAGCCAGACACCCGGGATCACGGCTGGGGAGGGAGACCCAGAAAGCAGAATTTCCACTCGTGTATCCCGAAAACAGCCCTGCCCAGTCCTTCCCACAGGGAGCCTGGGAGGCCGACTGCAGCCCGGGGTGAGATAGCAGGGAGGGAAGCACACGCCGCTTCCTGCGCGGCTCTATCAGGCCAGCCGCGGCCGGAAGGGACTTTGGCAAACGTTCCGGGATGATCCCGGGGTGCGGACGAGACTCCCAAGTGTGTGCCTGGCTCCTCGGGGGGGGCAGAGGCTTTGCAGACGGGGCCATTTGTCACGCAGCTGCCAGAGAGGAAGCCGAGGCCAGGGCCAGGCCTGCTGCTCGGGACTCAGCCACTGTCCCTTTCCTGAGTGGGGGAGGGGCGGCTCCAGGATCAGCCCGAGGGACCGACAAAGTGGACATCCGATGCCTCCCCAGCAGAGGGAATGGCACGGAGGAAGCAGGGGGCGGGGAGGGGCCAGGGAGGGCGGCCCCGTGAGAGCAGCCCTCAAGACCAGGCGCCAAGGTGAGGGGTCGGTGAGGGAGGGGGCGGCTGCAGCTGAGACCTTAGCAGATGGCAGGAACGCCTCCAAGGCCATTTTCTGCCCAGAGGCGATGTACTCCAGGCAATGACGCTACTCTGGAACCCTCTGGAGCCCCCAGAGCGGGGCCAGGTGGGCCTGGGTGGAGCCCCAGACCCCCCTGCACCTTTGCCGCAGCCTCAGGGCCTTCCTGGGTTTTCACATGAAGGAAGGGCTGTGCCGAGTCACACCCGGGAGGAGGGTGACCCAGGCCCTGCAGGGTTTGCCAACTCCGGGCCGGGGGCTCCTGGCTGCCCCTCCACTGTTCTGCTGGCCACGCTCTGCCCGGAGGCCATGTCCTGACTGTCTTTTCTGGCTCGGCCACAACAGCCGCTACCACGGCTGCTTGTTCAGGGCAGGGCGCGGCAGGGAGCCGATGCCAGCTGAGCCCCACAGGCCCAAACCAATTTGTTGATTCAGTTGTATGCAATTCACAATGCTTAGAGACTAGATTAGCCTTTTGCAGTGTTGGAACTGCTGCCCTGATCCCAGGCTGGCCAGCACCCAGCACCCGCTCCCAGATCCTGCACGCAGCGCCCCACGCTAGCCACTCCCTGCAGGTATCCCGCCCCGCCCCGGCCCACCTGGACCTCTCCTCCCCTGCCACGGCCACCCCAACGCCTCACCTGACGCTGGGGACCCCTCTCCACCCCAGCACCCCTTCCCAGCCCACAGCCACCTGGAGATGCTGGTTTCCTAATACAAGAAAAATCAGCCACGGGGGAGGGGACAGCCATGAGTTAGAGAGAGGAAAGGAACTGTGGGCAGGAGACAGAAAGGTGTGTGGAACTGTGGCGGGGGCAGGGGAGTTGCAAACTGCAGGGAAAGGAGAGAGCTCAAAGCCTGGGGTCCAGGTGGGCAGGGCAAAAGGGACCGGCCCAAAACCACACAACTGATGCTCCCAGCCCCGTCTCTGCCACCTGCGCCCGGGCTCAGCTCACTGTCAATCTCCTCATCCTCTGCCCGCTCTGGGGGGTCTAGCGGGCCACGGTCAGCCCAGAGTGAGGAGAAGAAAAAGGCATGCACAGCCCAGAAGGCTCTGTAGTTGGCCAGCCCGGCAGGACCGAGGGGCACGGCCCCGTGAGGTGAGTTGTCCGGGTGGCTCGGCTGCAGCCAGGTGCGCAGGTGGGCGTGCAGGTGGACACTGGGTGAGAGCGCAGGTGACGGTGGAAGTGGCGCCTCAAGTGAGCCGTGCGGAGCTGCAAGAGAAGAGGCCTTACCTTACGCGGAGAAGGTTTCTCCGAACTCTCCAGGTCCCCGTCCAGGAGCGGCATGGCGAAGGAGCTCAGGTCCTAGGGCAGAGAGCGAGTGCACGGTCAGTGACGGGCCCTCCGGTCCAGGCGCCGCCCGTAGCCCTAAGCGGGCGTCGCCTGCCCCCTCCTGAGTCCTCCTCCTTGAAATCACCCACTTTTAAGGAGGGATGTGGGTGTGTTTGCCATCCCCCCTCTCCGCAGATCCTGATCACCCTCCACATTCCCTTCCAGAAGGAGAAGTCAAATTTCCAGTGAGCAGCCACGACCTCCCATCACCCAGGGAAGGAGGAAGGAAGACAAAGCTGGGATGAAGGGGACGGGGGGGGGGGGGGAGAGAGACCAAGGAAGGAGGGCAGAGGAGATGGGGGAGAGAGGTCGCATCTCGGGATGTCTGGGGGTGTGGCCGATGGACAGGACTTTATCCCAGGACATGGAAAGTGGGTCCAGGAGTGTGGCTGCCCGGGAGGATGGTGGGGTGGGAAGGGCACCGTCGGGGTGGCAGCTGGGCCAACACAATGGGACAGGAACCTAAACCAGACTGTGGGGGGAGTGGCTCACCCCAAACTCATCACGTCTGAAACAGCCGGGCCCCTCCTTCGTCCTCAGTCTCGCCGGGTGGACACCCACCACCACCCCAGGCCGAAACCCCACCTGGCTGTCCTCACATCCACCTGCACACTTAATATTTATTTTATTTATTTATTTATTTATTTACTTATTTATTTATGACAGAGTCTCCCTTTGTTGCCCAGGCTAGAGTAAGTGCCGTGGTGCCAGCCTAGCTCACAGCAACCTCAAACTCCTGGGCTCAAACGATCCTCCTGCCTCAGCCTCCCGAGTAGCTGGGACTACAGGCATGCGCCACCATGCCCGGCTAATTTTTTCTTTATATATATTAGTTGGCCAGTTAATTTCTTGCTATTTATAGTAGAGACAGGGTCTCGCTTTTGCTCAGGCTGGTTTTGAATTCCTGACCTCGAGCAATCTGCCCGCCTCGGCCTCCCAGAGTGCTAGGATTACAGGTGTGAGCCACCGCGCCTGGCCCACTATACTCTTGCCAGAGTGACAGAGCAAGACTCTGTCTCAAAAAAAAAAAAAAAGATTAGGACACACACACACAGAAGGAAGACCACAGAATTGTGAGAACGCAGATTTCTGTTGTTTGAGCTACCCAGTCTGTGCCACTTTGTTCTGGCCATACCTGCTAACTAATAGGCATACGAACATCTCCGAAAGACCCTGCTTTCAACTCCTTTGGGCATATACCCAAAGTGGAACTGCTGAACATCAGGTAATTCTACCATTAATTTTTTGAGGCACCCACACTGTTTTCCACCGTGGCTACAGCATCTTACGTTCCCACCCACAGTACACAAGAGTTTTAACTTCTCCATGTCTTCAGCAATACTTGTTTTTGTTTTCGAGACAGAGTCTTGCTTTGTTGCCCAGGCTAGAGTGAGTGCTGTGGCATCAGCCTAGCTCACAGCAACCTCAAACTCCTGGGCTCAAGCGATCCTCCTGCCTCAGCCTCCCGAGTAGCTGGGATTACAGGCATGTGCCACCATGCTCGGCTAATTTTTTCTATATGTATTAGTTGGCCAATTAATTTCTTTCTATTTATAGTACAGACGGTTGTTTTGTTTTTTATGGTAGCTATCTCACTGGGTGGGAGGTGGTCTTTCACTGTGGTTTTAATCTCATTTCCCTAGTGACTAGTGATGCTGAGCATCTTTTCATGTGTTCATTGGCCATTGGTCTATCTTCTTTGAATAAATGTCTATTCGAGTTCCTTGCACGCTGTTTAACCTGGTTATTTGTGGCCAACTTCTTTATTTGTGGTAGGAATTCTTTATATATCCTGGATACTAACTCCTTATCGGATGCATGATTTGCAGATATTTTCTCCCATTCTGTGGGCAGCCTCACACTCTACCGACTGACTATCCTTGGATGACTCGATGTAGTCCAACATATCTATTTTCCCTTTTGTTGCCTGTACTTTTGGTGTTGTATCTAAGAAACCACTGCCAATCCAATCACGACATTTCCCCCCTCCCCATGATTTCTTCTAAGAGTTTCATATTTTACAGCTTTAGCACTTATATTTAGGTCTTTGATCTATTTTGAGTTAATTTTTTGCATATGGTGTAAGGTAAGGGTCCAACTTTGTTCCTTTCCATGTGGGTATCCAGTTTTCCCAGCACTGTTTGTTGAAAAGACTGTCCTTCTCCCATGGAGTGGCCTTGGCACGCGTGTCCATTTGACTGTATCTCTGAGAGTTTATTTCTGGGCTTTCTATTCTGTTCCATACAGTCTCTGTTGTATGTTTTATGCCAGTACCACACTGTTTTGAGTATTGTAGCTTTATAATAAGCTTAATAAGTTTATAATAAGTTTATCAAGTTTGAAATCAGGAAATGTGAGACCTCCACTTTTTTCTTTATTTTTTTAAAGATAGTTTTGCCTATTTGAGGTCCCTGAGCTTCCATATGAAGTTCAGGATAAACTCAAGTGTTCTATTTTTGCAAAATATGCCATTGGGATTTTGATACAGATTGCACTGAACCTGTAGACTGCTTTGGGTAGTACTGACCGCTTAACAATTTCATCTTCCAGTCCATAAAATGGGATGTGTTTTCATTTGTGCCTTTTGTCATTTCCTTCAGCAATGCTCTGTAGCTTTCTGTGTGCTTAGCCTTTCTTTTAACCCATTCCACCCTCCCCCACCCCTGCCCTGGCCCTGGGGTCCCAGCCTACACCCTCTCTCACTCACTCAGTTTTCTCTTGGGCCACCTGCTTGTTCTCCGACTTCTAGCTGTGCCTGTTTGAATCCATCCTCCCAGTCTCTGCTTGAACGGTGACCCCTGAAAATGTGAGCCTTATCATGTCAGCTCCTCCCCCTGAGGCCCAGCAGCTCCACGGTAGCCCTGGCCGCTGTGTGGGGCTCCAGGCCCAGCCTCTCTGCTGTTGTTCACTTCTGGGTTCTTGGCCAGCTCCTCCTGAGATCACCTGGGGTGCCTGCTTGCTGCTGGGCCTGTGGGTGAGTCAGCACGGCAAGCAGAGGGCCGCCAGCTTCCCCAGGGGGTTCCCAGGCTCAGGTCCGGAGCTCTGGGCAGCCCCGCAGCCTGCAGTCCAGGCCCAAGGGTTAGCCAATCTCCGCAGCCTTGTCTCTGATGTGCTCTGCGCCCGACTCCTGCCTTCAGCCCAGGTGGACCGCTTGTGGTTTTCCAAACAGGATGTGTCTATGGACATCCTGCCTGGAACACCATGTCAGCTCCTCGAGCACTTCGGTTCAAGGCCACTGTCCAGCCCCTCCCGTGGACTGAGCCTGCTTCCCTTCAGCCTCTCCGGGACAGCTCTGAGTCGCACCCCAGCCCCCGGCACGGAGCCTGGCCCCTGGGGACACAGCAATCAGCCACATTGGTGCCAACCTCCAAACACCCCAAGACCTGTCCTTCCTCTGGGATTGCCTCGTGGTCTCCCTATGCCCCACCCCCAAATTCTGGCTCACAGAGTGAACTCCTATGTGTCCTGCAAAGCCTCATTCAAATATGATCTCTGGCTTGGACCCGCCATCAGGCAGAACCCCCTTTCATTTGCATCCCACAGACCTTTAGACATATCTTTATATGTGTATATTATAATCATGGACCAGTGCATGTTTCTTTTTTTTTTAGACAGAGTTTCACTTTTATTGCCCAGGCTAGAGTGCTATGTCGTCAGCCTAGCTCACAGCAACCTCAAACTCCTGGGCTCAAGAGATCTTCCTGCCTCAGCCTCCCGAGTAACTGGGACTACAGGCATGTACCACCATGCCTGGCTAATATATATATATATATATATATATATACACACACACACATATATATATATGTTTAGTTGGCCAATTAATTTGTTTCTATTTATAGTAGAGACAGGGTCTCGCTCTTGCTCAGGCTGGTTTCGAACTCCTGACCTTGAGCAATCCGCCCGCCTCGGCCTCCCAGAGTGCTAGGATTACAGGTGTGAGCCACCGCACCTGGCCAGTGCACGTTCTAACTCCGCTTTGACTCCACCAGGGCCAGGGGAAGGCTGTCCATCTTGCTGTTCTCTGCCTCAGCTGTGCCTGGCAGGCATCGGGGGCCAAGTGTGTTTGAATTAACTCCTTGGCCAAGCACCCTCCCACCCCAGCCGCAGGCACAGGGCTGCAGAGTCTGTGCCCAGGGGCCGGCAAGGAACAGGCCCCTGCAGGTGCCGTTCTCCAGGAAGGGAAGAGGAACCAGGGAGGGTCTCTTATCACCACGCTTAACCAGCACATTCCTCTCCAGTCTCAAATAATCATTACTCTCTAACATTTGTTGGGCACCAGCAGTTTCCACACACGGAAGCTTTCCCGCAAATGCTCACTTGTCCCCACGCAGCAGCCCTAAGCAGCACCGCGCTCCAGCGAGTCCAGGGAGGCCGAGACTCCTGCGAGGACGGTCTGGGAAGAGCCGGGAGCGGGACTCGGGTCTTGCTCCTAGCTCGGGCGCCTGCAGCCCAGGCAGCTATTTCTGGCCCTCATGAGCACGAAAGCACCACGTCCAGCTGCCCGAGGGTCCCTGGCTGCGGGACCCAGGTGCGCGAGCCCGCGCGGTCAGGCAGCCGGGCAGGGAAGTCCCCTGGCACAAGTGGCGGGCTTTGCTGGAAGGCTCCCCCGGCCCCACATTCCATTATTCTAATCCTGGCTCTCACCTCCCAGAGCTCACCGGGAAACATTACCCACCTTTGGGACCCAGTGTGGGAAAATCTCTAACTGCAACTAAGGCAACAAGACTACCAGCTTGTAGAATACTTGGGACCTGGTCCCTTAGCTCAGCTGACATTCCAGAAGGCCCCGGGCTCAGGGGGCTTGCCCTGTCCATAAGTTTTAACTCCTACCAGAGCTCCATGCCTTCCTCACTGCTGTCATCCACGCCTGGCCCCAATCCCTTCACCCCCTTGTCCCGTCAGCCAGCCAGGTGGGCCCCTTCATGCACCAGGGGACCTTCCACCAGGGGGTTATGACAAGAGATGCTGAA